TAAAATAAAAAAGAAGTGTGAAAAAAATAATAAAAAATAAAAAAATGAAATAAAATAATAAAACGATGTCATTGTGTTTGTGCGCTGCAAACTGATATAAGAAGAAGCCTCTATAAAATTTATCCATGATAAAAATTTATGATATCCGAAAACCCGCTTTACTCATTGTTTAAAAAAAACATAATGATAAATAAATTATAAATTTAAGCCTTGGTTTAATTCTGATATTATTAGAAACCTCCGTATGAAGAAATACTATCATAATAAATACAAGTTAACCAATATCACTTTCTATTATGAAAATTTTAAATTGTACAGGAAATTAATAAAAATACTTATGAAAGATGCCTATAATTCATATATTATTGACGTTGAAAATTCTCTATCGCTTAATCCTAAATATTTTTGGTCTTTTTTGCGTAATAAAACTGCTTCTAATATTATTCCTAATAGATTGTGCTATCTAGACAAATATTATGATTCTCCTGATGCTATTGTTGATGCATTTAATTCTTACTTTATTAGTGTTTATCAGCCTAAACTTGACATACCCATTTTATTTGATCATAATGATAGAATCATGATTGATATAGGTGAAATTGATTCTAGTACTGTGCAACTTGCAATAGCAAGTTTTAAGAACTCCAAAATATTTGGTTTCGATGGTATTCCATCTTTCTTTATACGTGATTGCTCATCTACTCTATCTGATCCACTTGCATTTTTATTTAATCTATCTTTGCGTACAAACACTTTTCCAAATTGTTGGAAAATTGCACGATTAGTTCCAACTTTTAAACAAGGTGTTACATCAAACATTACTAATTACAGGCCGATATCATTATTATCAAACTTTGCTAAGGTATTTGAAAAAATTATTTATAGAGAACTAATTCCTTCTGTTAGAACTTTAATTTCTCTTAATCAACATGGTTTCATGCCTGCCCGTTCAACGATAACAAATTTAATTTGTATTAAACAATATATAGCTGAGAATCTTGACATCAATGGACAAGTTGACGTGATTTACACTGATTTCAGTAAAGCTTTTGATAAAATTGATCATAACATTCTCCTTACTAAATTATCTAAGATTGGTCTTAATTCTTCACTTATCCACTTTTTCAAAAGTTATCTTCATAATCGCAAGCAGTTTGTCTTTCTTAATGGATTCTTGAGCAACATTGAAAATATTAGTTCAGGAGTTCCTCAGGGATCCATTCTTGGTCCACTATTATTTATTATTTTTATTAATGACATTTCTGATACTATTAACTGTCCACATTTATTATTTGCAGATGATCTGAAACTATATCTCAAAATAAATTCTATTGATGACTGCTTATTTTTACAGTCTCAACTTGACCTTTTCCAATCTTGGTGTATCTATAACAAATTACATCTAAATATATCAAAGTGCAAGATTCTTAGTTTTACACATAAGCGCGTTCCAATACTTTTTGATTATAAAATTTCTAACACCAGCATTGATAGATGTAATAAAATTTCCGATTTAGGTGTTCTATTTGATTCTGGTTTGTTTTTCACAGATCATGTTACTGATATTTGCAATAGAGCACATCAATCTTTAGGTTTGATACTAAGAAATTGTAAACAATTTAAGTCTACCAATGCACTTCTTTGCATGTACTATTCTATTGTACGTTCAAAATTAGAATACGGTTCGATTATTTGGTATCCTCATCATATCAACAACTCTGATGCGATAGAGAAGGTTCAGCGAAAATTTCTGAAATACCTTTATTATAAAACATATAAAATTTACCCTGAACGTGGCTTTGACCACAACACTTTACTAAAAGAATTTGGTATTCCTTCCCTTGCCTCACGTCGATTTATCTGTACAATTATGTTCTTATTTAAGCTTTGCAATAATTCTATAGACTGTCCTCTTATTCTCAATCAACTATCCTTTAATGTTCCAAGGCTATCTTCGCGTTCACAATTATTTTTCAATTATCCCACCCCTAAATCTAATTCTCTCTTAAATTCGCCAATTTTACTAATGTCCTCTAACTTTAACTTAATTAATAATGAAATAGACATTCACAACACATCACCTAATCAAATAATCTCCATCTGCACAAGTTAATCTTTTTATTTTCTTTCAAATATCTTATTATTTTCTGTTTATAAATATTATTGTTACATTCTGCATTATATGAAATTTTATCTTAGCATTTTATGTTACTAACTATATATTGTAATTTTGTGTATATTTTAATTGTTATTCATTATGTCAAATAATTGTATTTTTGAGTCCTCTTGGAGAAATCTGTGGGCTATATATTTAAATAAATAAATAAATAAATAAATAAATAATTTTTGCTCTAGTTTACAGTCATCTATTGATTTCATTCACTGTATTAAAATTAATATATATATATATATATATATATATATGTCATAGAGAAAAAAATAAAGTGATGGCATATAAATGTCATAGAAAAGAAATCATAATGATAGCTAGTGATAATAAATTACCCTTTCCTTTAATTCAGAGCGTATTGGTTTTCAGCATCAGAAAATTGGATATCCACCTCTGTTCTCCCTAATATAATATTATGTAACAAATAGCCAGATCATAATTGATTTATAATGAATTGAAATTTAAAAATCAACGCAATATGAGAACGAGACTGTGAGCAATATGACGTGCTGAAAATCTGATGTCTTTCAGTATCATTTCTTCATCGTAATCTAACAGATTTGCCAAGCCCCATCGCGCTCGAACAGGAAACCCTTGCCACGAAAAATCAATCCATTAACACAGACGAGAAAATGTCGTCCGTGAAAACGCCATTAAGTTTGTCGAGGCGTTGGTCACTTCATATTAATAATGGGTCTATTTTTAAAAGCAAATGGCGCATTTGCTGATAGCCGATCTTTTCTATTTATTTAATTAAACAAAATGTCATTACACACCTCCAATGTATCTATCTCTATTGATGATTATTTACGTTAGAAAAGAAATCTAGAACATTACACGATCGAATATGAGGTTTGAGCGATGAAGGATTCGTAATATTTATACTAGTTACCATTCAATCTTATTCAAGTAGTTTTGTTATTGCACATACAGTAAAATCCCGTTTAACGCGGGGAATACGTTCCATCAAAGTAGAGCTCAATGCGAAACAGCGCTAAACGAGGCTATCTTTACATGGAAATAATGGAGTTAGGAGAAGACGGCTAGGAAATTGGTTCGGTATTAAATTTAAAAAGTATGTTATTTTTACTAAAAATAAAACCAAACATTTATTTCTTAAAGCCCAAATTAATACCGCATTATTATTTCTTGCAAAAATAAAGACAAAATATAAATAACAAAACGAATATTCTTGAAAAAAAAAAACAAATAACATTCTATGTCAGTCATATTTAGTTAGTCCTCCGCGTTTTCAGTGTTTTGCCGTTTTGTGACAAAAGCATCTAATGTTGTTTCACTTTTTCTTTTGCGTTGTTCTCTTAAAAGTTCTTCATAAACGGATAGAGCATCTCTAATACCTCGTCTTACTTTAGAGAATGAATTGATCCATTATTTCAGTTACGATAAACAAACTCCTTTTTACAAGCACCATCGAAAGTTTTTTTTGCTTTTCCGCTAAATCACTGAACATTTTTGTTTTCTTCTTGTTCAGTTCATTCCTCGAGCTCACCATTAGAAAGACTGCACTACTTCTTGAATTATTTCTTTGACATCTTCCTCATTCATTCCTTCAAAACCTCGGTTGAAATAAAAGAGCGCTAAACCAAAACAGCGCTAAACGATACGGCGTTAAACGGGGTATTACTGTATATCCAATATATTATAGTTCTCTAACTCGATCGATGTGATAAAATTAATGCTCGCATGTCATATCACGATGAATTTATCCACTGAAATTGTTGAAATTTCAGTGAGAAAAATTGCACTGCTCCATTCTCAAACTTTTCCGATTAATTATAAAAAATAAATCTATAAAATAGCTATGGAAAATAAATAATGCAATCAAAATCCCAACTAATCTGTGTTGATATAGAATATTGCTTACAGAATTTTAAGCTATGCTTCTTTTGCTAAAGAATCTATAACTAAAAACAATGGATAATAAGTAAATTTGGTATATTACTTACATTATACTTACGTAATCTATTCAGCGCAAGTTGACAAAAAGCGTTGTAATTCAAGGGCATAACAGCTTTTATCCCCTTAAAGCTTCTTGGGTTAAACAAACTTGTGAGAAAGAATCATACGGTACACATTGGCAGTAAACAATTTATTACTTTTGAAAGTACTGGGCAAGGATACTAACTGGCCAAGATATCAAAAAGTGTTTTAGGTTAATCTCTTGCATTATTATTTATCCATATCTTATTTTTCAATTTCATATATTATGGAGAAACCAAATTCACCACATTCTAGCATCATCATTATTATCTTTATCAGAGAGAGTTTACTCTGTGAAAATTAGGTATATATATTGTTTCATACTCAGACAACACCACTTCAACAGCTTTAAAAAACATTTAAACAATAATCAAACCCAAAATCTAAGAACTGATTTGTCAATAAACCATATATTGATATCGAGAACTAATTTGAGTTTAGATTCGATTTATCTGACGAAGCACAAAGATTATCTCTAGGTGGTACTTCATCAAGTGGTTCAGAAAACGAGAATCATAATCCAATCGCACTTGTTGCTGATGCATTTATATATATTTTATTATTTATATATATATTTATTTATATTAGATTACACAACGATTTCGATATGCATGTGAAAAAGCTTATGATGACCTTATGAGCAAATAAGGGCCTTGCGATCCAAGGTACATATTAACCCTATAAACAATGGAATGCCTTTAAAAAAGCACTTAAAAAAGCACAATTCAGTTCTAGTCCTTACAAAGTATTTGATTTGTGATTTACCTGTTTACATTAATTAATAAACAAGAATAAATTAAAACTTATTACTATCTCTATTTTCACTTACCGCCAAGGATGTGCAACAAAGCCGGGACAGGAGTCCCGACAGTCTTCACATGCTGTTCCGTCCACTACCTCACGAACGGCAGATCCCTACAAAGAATATAAAAAAATAATTTAAGAAATCCAAACAATTGATGTTTTTAAATAATGTCACATAAACTTAACCAATAAGAAGTGAGATTTAGCTACTTTTGAAACTTTCACAATAAAAATTTGAAATTTTGATGTGGCCCATTATTTCAAACTTTATTGAATATTAATAATTAAACCTTTCGTAGACCTATGATACTTTAGAATACTTGTTAACGCTATGAACTCTATTCCTTTACAAAGTATCATTGAAATCGTAAAAAATCAAAAAAACATAAAATTAGCAAAACGGATTATCTGCCTAAAACAAATTTCTTGGGTAAGTTAATGAAATTGAATGTAACTACAAAAAAATAATTGGTGAAATAAATATAATATCGTCATTACAAGATAAAAAAAACCTATGATTTATATCTGGAATTTGCCCATTGAAAAGCTTGTTTTACAATAAAATTTCACACACTCTTATCGGGATAATTGCACACATGATATGTTAGTTGTTGCACTTGTTAGATCCACTATTTCATGTATATACTTAATAGATATTACACTACATGGACTGCTAGCCATCATATGTTTTCCGTTGTATGGAGTGCTCAAACATAGAAGGGTATGTGACGTTACAAGTCTGAGCGAACATTGCCGACGACATTCGCGGACTCTCCTTACATGCCTTATAATATAGGCTTTATAATATATAAACCGATTTTAACAGGTCGATTCGATTTTATGTACATTTATTTCACAAGGGAAATATTATTAATATCATTTTTTACAAAGTTATCAGCCATCACAATTGCATTATATTATTAAAATAAAACATATTGCATATGGATATGACATTTAATAAATCGGGAGAGTCCGCGATTGTCGTCGGTAACGTTTGCTCAGGCATACGACGTCACATACCCTTTTATGTTTGAGCACTTATTTTGGGCTCGACTAGTAGTCCATGTAATATATGGTCTATGATATTCTTATATCAATGTAAGAAAAATACATTAATATTTATATTAAATATTATTATTATATGTTTTTACGGTTAATACACGGAACCACTAACAGTAAGTACTTATATTTCAGTAATAATTGTATTTCAAAAACAATACTTTTCATTTACATCTTTATAGTCATGATTGAAATACTAAAAAAACCTTTCGGTTTAAAATATTGTTTTAAAATATTATTGTAAAGATATTGTTTTTCCAAAAATTGCAATTTTGACAAAATTTTGAATAAATTTGTAAGGCTTAATATGAACAAATATATATAGAGAATGTACTAAATACAACAGTTGTAAATAATATTGATAGAAAAATTACTAAATTGGAATCTTAAAATCAATTATGTTACCAAATGCGATCTATTTTTAGAATGAATAAGTTTTTAAAATATGTCATGATAAACTATTATAAGTTTATAAGTATCATCATCCGTCGATTTAAAATAGTGAAAATTATTTATATTTTTTCTATTTCTTAAATATCAGCGAGTTATAATGAAGAGAACAACCATAGGTGGGGAACCTGCGGCCTCGAGGCCGCATGCGGCCTCCGGGAGGTTCTTGTGCGGCCCCTTGCCGTCTAGTACAAAATAGCAGATTTACTTTCAAACAACTATTGTACAAAAATCCCACCAAAAACAGTCATATATTGGCAATTTTATGAGATCATAGTTATAAAATGACACAAAACTATACCTTTTTTCATAAAACACAAAAATATATTCTTACAAATTGGTGTCTAGTGGCAAGTTACTGAAACTTTCCGTACTGAAAATTACATTTTATAAAAAGTTTTGAAAAATGATGAAAATTGAATTTAAGAAACCTTTTTTTCATATTTCGATTTTTTTTTGTCAATTATTAACTTTTATGTATTAAATTTATTAAAATTAAATTTTATTTGAATGATCCGATCCCTATTGATAGCGAGACGTGCTGATAAGTTATTGGCCAAAGCAGGTCCCAAAAATAATAATTCAGTTTTTGAAAAATGGAACGTCCAACATCATTAAAAGAAATTTACATGTATAGACAAAACGGAGAACTGATTAAATTTGTGGGAGGCAGGTCTAGCGGTTTCGACGGTCCAATAAAAAATTTGAAAAAGAAACATTTGGCGGTCAAAAGTGATTAAAACATATGCACATCAAATTATCATATATTTTAATAATAAGAATAAATTTTGTTTACATTTTACTATGGGTTCTGTATCATTATTTATTCTGCAAGGCGTTATTCTGCGGGGCGAAGCTTACGCGCTTCTTTATTTTGTCTCTACGCAGCTAAAGCAGGGCGATCGCTTTAAAAAAAGTTCTTTTTTTATTTTAATTTTTTGTACGGGAAGTTCCAGCAATTTGCCTTAAGGCACGATGCCAAGCACCACTATTTATAGTATGTAAAGCGTAATAAATTTTCTGCAATTAAATAGCAATTTTAATTTTAGAAAAATGATATATAAAAACTATTTTACCTAAAAATTCAGGGATGGGGCGGCATTTTTGTTAGTGCCCCAGAGTGCCCCTGCGTATTTATATGTATATAATATATAGAATTTATTTATATTTAAACCTTGAAATATAAATATAGAGTAAGGTTTTTGAAATGAGAACAACTTAAATGCAAAATATAAAGTAACAATACATTTTGTGCTTAATAAATACATATTTTAATTAAAATATTTCTTTCACGTGCATTATTATGAGTTTATACATTATCAAATAATACGCTTATTTTTATGGGTAAGCATTATCATTCTCTAAATGGATTAGGTACATCATTTATTAATAATATTTTTTAAATTATATTTTTAAATGTCTGTCAATAGTGTCTAGTCTAGGTATATTTTTTTGGCAAGAGGTAACGTTGCGTTTAATGCATTAATCCTATTTTTTATTATAACAACTATTGTCCTTAATGACAAAAGGAATATTCATGCCGAAAGTTTACAAATGAATTTAATCTCATTAAAAAATTAATGTTTAAATGAAATTAAAAAGAACTAAAATATTTATAATTCATTTAAAATTTAATTTATAAAATATTTGAAATTTTTAAGTATTTTATTTACTTTTTTCTATATAATGCAATAAATTGTTATAACTATAAAAAATTATAATACTTTCACAAAAGTCACTTTTTTAGGTCAATCAGCTTATGCGGCCTCTTTTATTGCTGCCTAATTTAAGTGCGGCCTCTAACGGCAAAAAGGTTCCCCACCTCTGGAACAACTATGAGTAATTTTTTCATGGAACTTGTCATTTATATAGAGAGTTATGTTTGCGTTAGATTGGCCATTGACCTTGACTATTTCCGCGCTATAAGCCTTAATATTAGAGTAATTATAGTAACGAATAAAACATCAACGGCCCCCATTAATGTGACTTATAACTTATAGCCGTGTGTTCGGTGACCGATTAATAAGTAAACTGCAAGATTTATTGACATGTTGGCGATCGTATATTTTATCTTAATCGCATAATAAACGTGTTGTAATTCGCATTCTGTCTTGAGGCAAGTTGCATGAACCTCCTGTGTAAACAATCAACTAAATCAATAATAATTTGATTTGTATATGATCTACTTGTTCACCTGTCTACTTGTTTACCTAGATAGGTATCTTGCCTATCTTTCGATATGTCTATATGTCGTTAATATGGATCGAATGTTTTTTGAATCATTCAAATCGGTTGCTCCGCCCATTAAGCACGTGGTGTTGTAACAATATTCTATATAAATCCCTTCCAACATCTCCGCTGTGACAATAAACCAATGTGGTGTAGATGTTCGTTTAAAATTATTTAAAATTGCAATTCCAATTTTAAAATTGCTATTGCGTACTCCCGAACACCCCGACGAAACGTAAAGATATAAAAAAAATACTTTCATTTTTTTTACGATTACTATAACCTACCCTAGATGTTAAAAATCTATGTTGATAATATTAAACGAAACGAAACGAAACACTATTCTAGATTATTGTTCAATAATATTGATCTCTGTGCACTGAACAATTACTCAATAGACTGAATAAGGTGCAGATTAAATTCCAAAAATATGTGCCAAACTTTGCGTACTATAAAAAGCTGGGAGAATACAAATAAATTAATCTTGAACAAAAGCAAAAGTTACAACTTTACAGCCCAGAGAAAAATCATTGATCTTCTTTTTTTCTACAAGTTTGTGAATGGTACCCTAGAATCACCAAAGCTCTTAGCAAAGATCGAATTTGTCACACCTAGAGAAGGAATTCGATCTAATAGAAGTGTCAATACAACTAAATCCTCAAAAAACACGTGTATTTAAATAAATTAGCCAAAATAATCAACGAGTATTGCGGCAGTTTGAACTATTTCGATACTCGTCAAAACATTTTTGTATCCAACATAAAGCGAAAAAAATTAATACGTTAAAGTGCATCTATATAATAAAATAGTATGTGCAATTAATGATTAGATTATGTTACCAAAGTATTATGTTACCAAAATATTATGCATAAGTGTACATGTATTATATTATTTTTTTTATTTATATAATGGCCTTGCTAACTTTTAGCATAAATTAGCAAAAAGAGCTACAGAGCATGGGCCAGAGTTAAAGGTTGCCATGTATAAAGATTTTTTAAATAAAGTGTTGCAAAGAATTAACATATAATGGCAAAACGATTGGAATGCTTCATCTCAGTCACGTGGCCAGTATTATAGAAGAATTAACCCTGTAGTTGATAAAAAACTATGGCAGGAGCAATTTAAAGAAGAAGACAGAAGAGTGTTTGTAACAATTACAAGAATGAGATTAAATCACGGGCTCTTTCCATCTCATATGATGGCTAAATGCTCAAAGTTAGCAAAAACATTAAATATAAAAAAAAAAACTTTCGGAGAAAACAAAATTTCCGTAACGATGCCGGACTATTGGGCATTCCGGACTGTTGGTTACCGTACTAAAAGGCCTTCTACTGTATTCAACTTATTGGTACTTTTATTCGACATCTACTTTG